GAGAGAGAGAGAGAGAAAGCTGTCGAGAGAGAGAGAGAGAGCCATCAGCACACGGGACACTCTTATTTACAGCAAAAACACAGAATGCCTATGGGTAGTCACACACAAACACAGACACACTTTGTTTTCTAAAGACAGAGAAGGACAAAGAGGCCATAAGAATGAAGGCAAACAAATAACTGACAGAATCCACCTGATCAAAACGAGACAGAAGCCCCTTAGCATTACCTATACACAGACACACATGAGGGGAGGGAGCCCCTTAGCATTACCTATACACAGACACACATGAGGGGAGGGAGCCCCTTAGCATTACCTATACACAGACACACATGAGGGGATGGAGCCCCTTAGCATTACCTATACACAGGCACACATGAGGGGATGGAGTCCCTGCACATACCATTCAGCTGGACTCCTTTGGTGCCCTTCAATGAGGCACTGGAGCATTCAGGAATCGCTCTGCACTACAGCGACTTCTGCATGATCAGTCTGAGGGTCACAGGTACCTCGGCGCCTGTTTTCACTTCCTGCTGATTGGTCTCAATAACTCTCGTGTCGGATACAGTCGTTATGTTGCCTCCCGTCTTCCAATCATATAGTGACTCCAAGAGAACATGAAGCCATGCCGCTTCTATGAAGCTTGTCAACAACCAAAGCAATCTGCCTCGATCAGTTAATACAGAGGCCCCTATGAGACCGGCTTGATGCATCCCAGCCAGTTTATGTCTGGAGAAGTGTCCTTCTATACATAGTCCACAAACAACTTTGCACCAATCAGAACCATGTTAAAATGTCTACAGGAGAGTGGTCATCTAGTTTTAAACCCAAACATTGCGCAAAAAGGGCTCTGGTCCTGCCTCAGGACTCTGGATTGGTTATCTCAGCCAGGGGGCTCTGTTATTGGCTATTCAAAACAGAGGTCAGTTTTTGTGAAGAGACTAGGATCATGTTGCCACGCCTCCTCCACCACGATGCCCCGCCTCCAACATAGAACCCCGCCTACTCTATCAGAATGCCCCGCCTCCTCCACCACGATGCCCCGCCTCCAACATAGAACCCCGCCTACTCTACCAGAATGCCCCACCTCCACCACCACGTTAGCCCCTGTTCTCCACCACAACCTCACATCTTCTACATCTACACGAAAACAGACCAGTTCATTATCAGATTTTTATGAGTATTTACCGCATTGTACAACTGTGTATTGACATTTAGAGCACATCACATGACGCCTTTCATATTTATTTCCTGCCAGCTGACAACATTCCTAGAGAAGGTTCAGGGCATAATTTTCATTTTTGATTTGCTGTTCTTTGGAGTCATACTAGAAAATAAATTGAATATGCAATTCTGAATGAAATCTAAATACTGACTGTGTGGGTGAATGAATAGAATTCAGAAAGAATAGAAATGTGGAGAAATACAGAATGAAGGAGAAGATGGACAGAAATCGCAGTCCTTCATGTCAGCTCGGAATCGACCCCCCAATTCCCAGCTTCAGCCGACGCTGGAGAACGGAACGGAATCTGAAACGTTTCTGCAAAAAACACCTTTATTGCGGAAACATTTTTGGCGAAAACGTTTCAAATTCCATTCCGTTCCAGTCACTTGGAGAGGAACATCACTTGAGTGCAGAAGGTCGATAAGAAAACACAAAAAAAACATAATAAATGAGCTGAGACTCATTGTCAAAGCAAACCAGGGTGGGCAAAAATGCCGCCCTTTGACGTATCTGGCAGACATTATACGCGAGATCTTACCCCTTGGTAAGGAAATAGGGTCAGCTTATTATTACATTGTCGACATATTAACTCCCACTGGCTCTCAGGCCCGGCGAGATACGATCAGCTAAAAGCAATGCCTGGGTAATTGGGCTCATTATTCATTACTAAAACAGACAACAGATATAACTTCTTACAGCAGTGAGCACAGTTCTTACGTAAATCCCCATAAGTCAGTTGAGCTCGAGAGAAGGCGGGACTTTAAGGTCATGTGACCAGTGGCTGAGAAGAGAAAGAGAAGTGGGCGGGACTCACTGATGATTGACAACCTGGAAGAGCAGAGCTCCTCAATGAAATGCAATGTGAAGGAGTGGAGGTGTGAGGGTTGGTGAGACCAGTCAACAAATAGCATAAATCCATAATTCCATGTATATTGAGCAACAGATGTTCATTATAGAATGCTGCCTGATCAGCACAGAGACTGAACCTTAAATCACACGCCTTCCTTACTATCACAGAGGCTGAAACCTCCTGCACACCCTTTTGGAACCTAAAATGCTCCCCCAAAATCGTGCAGTCTATCCCTGTCCCTGAGGAGTGACCTCTCAGCACCCTAGCAGAATTCAATAAAAGGTCAAAAGAAAACACTGCAGACACAGAGCTACTAGCCCAGGGGGGTGGGCTGGGGTGGTTTGGCAGGCAATAGGCAATTTAGAGACCGATTCGCCTAAGTACATGTTTCTGGACTGGGGAAGGATATCGTGTCTTTCTCTCCTTAAAGTTCTCCAAGTGATGCATAGCTTCAGATCCAACAGTTTTCAGGGACTGGCAGTTTGCTGGATTTGATATTGGACCGAAAAAAAAAACCAATTTCGTTGAACTCAGCTGGGGACAGGCATACCACTCATTACCAGGCCAGATGTTTAAAGCTAATATGGGCCATTCCATATGTCTGCGAGGCTCCCAGATTCATAACACGTGGAGAGATGAAAATCTCCCCGCAGCATATCGACAAAGACTGTTGACAGGGATGTGAACCTGCATAAGCTGAGGCTGAACCAAGGCGGGATTGGCGGGGGTGGTTAAAGCTTCGCAAGTGTCCATCCATTACTTCACCTCCAGCTTAGCTTTAATATAGCTCAAAGGCCTCAGTTGTACATTTATCCCCCCGCAAAACATCTAGATGGAACTAGCCGACCCACACTGATGTTGAATCGCTCCGGCATTAGAAAACAACTAATGATCACAGGAAGCCCCTGGTAACGTAACGATGATTGCTATAATGAGTGAGGAAGTTCGTGCTAAAGAGAAGACACACAAAAATGTAGTCAGGACAATTCCAATACTGTGCAGAGCGATAATTTGGAGTAGAACAACACATTTTTGGCTGACACTACTGGAGTGGCTTCTGTGGGTAGCGTTTGGGTCACGTCACTGCTATTGGCACTATGCGTGGAACATTATGGTTTAGTGGACGTGCTAGTTAAACGGACTTGCTAAAGGGGGTTAATATCTCCTGAGCTCGGTGGTTGGTATCCGCTATTGAGGCTGAAAGAGGTGATTGAAGAGCTCAGAGTCTCTGGGTGGCGCTGTTCTGCAGGAACAGGTGGCAAGCAGACAGGAGAAAAGGTGAGCCACTCTATGAGAGCCCTGAAGAGGGTGTCCTGGGGCTGTCATCCGCAGTGACGTACGCAGTCACTGCAGTGGGAAATTTCAGAAATCCTCACTAGCTTGTGATTGATAGTAGGAAGGCGACCAGGCAAAGCCATATGTAAATCGGATATGCAGTGAGATTTACTCATGTGAGTTTGGCAGATTCCCTCCCTTACCGATTTACCGTGAGACTCCTTTCCTGTGGTATTATGGGAATACTACAAAAAAAAAAATCACAGAGTTACTTACAGAAAAGGAGTGAGAGCAAACTTAGTGTCCTCAGCAGAGCAGGAGAACACTGGGGAAAGCCAAAAGGCACACTGCAACACTGCCAAGGGCCTCGAATGATTTAGCTGCAAGACCCTTGCAGTCGAAAGGTTACTCCAAAGCAGGACTGCATCTGAAAATAGGAAAAGGCCACGATAACAGGACCAGACCACTGCCCGAAAATGCCTTTGAAGTGGCTTCCCTTTTCCTGTCCTTAATAGCAGACTACATTAATAAGACGTAGCTGCGTGTCCAAACAAGAAAATGACGCTGTGTGACTAGTCTCTCCCAGACTGATACGATTATGAGGAATAGTTCAGGAATCTTGTCCTCTTGCTGCTCCGGACTCTGCCAGGAAAGACACCCAACCCTCCGACACAGAGGAAGACCACCATCAGCGAGCGGTGCTACAACCGACTGCAGGAGCACACCTCTCTCTCTTATTCTGAGATACCAACCTTCAGGACAAATTTGCTAAATTTTTGCAAAATCTGATTAACCTAGTTGTCATTTATCATCTTCCTTCCCATTCTGACAAGCTGGTCAAATCGGGGGGGCTGGTGGCTCCTGGGCTCTAAGCAGATACTTAGTTTGATTATGCCTTGGGTCGACCCCACTGATACATAAGGTCCCGTGGATGGAAACGGGGACAGTAAGAGTGT